GAGCTACTCTGCCGGCCTCCGTATGTTATTCCAGCCCAGGGAACTTCACGGAGGGGCAGAGAAAATGGGCTGACCCATGTCACATTCACAACACACTGAAAGGCTGCACCTGACAGCTGCCATGTAGCCCTCTCTGAGCCTCCTCAAGAGCATGTGTGTAGGCATGTGACCAGGGAAGGACAGGCCAGACATGGGATATCATAACATGAAATTCTAAGAGTTTTCAGATGTGGTATTCCCCCTGCTTTTATCTTGAATTTTGAAAAAGAAATTCTATTGCTTCTGGTTCAAAAAGTTATTTATAAAGTGTAACATCCCGCCCCACAACTAGTCATCTCTAAACTTATTCCCGCAACGTTGAGATGCACTATTTTTGATGCTCCCAAGTCTGGGAGCGACACCACATGTGTGAGCCGCCATGTGCCGCATCTGCTGCAGCCTTGGAGGGCTGAGCCTGGAGGCTCTGCAGAGCTCGCCCAGCTCTCCTTCCAGCCAGAACCTTTCCTTGTTTCCAAAAGAAATTCTGGAATCACGGCGACACAGAGGTGCAAACTCCTGTTCACTGCAGAGAGGTGGGAACTCTGAAGCCTGATGGCCTTTAGACCTAAATGGCAATGGTGTTCACCTTTTCCGTGAGTCAGAAACATCTCACTTTTCTGGGGTGGGTGGGGGTGGGGGTGGAGCTGTGTCTAAGGCCCCGCATTGTCCAGAGGAGTCTTCCAGAAGAGAAAGAATGTTGCTCTTGCTGGACTATGCACATGGCACCCAGACTTTGGCCCAAGGAAGTAGTAGTTTCTTTGAAAGAGCACTAAAGATTGTTGAATCAAAATAAAAAAGTGAATTACTGATGATTCACAGGGAGAGAGGGATGAAGACAAAGTTTGTTTAAGCCAGGGGTTTTCGAAGTAGAGAGGCAATTAGTCTAAGTTGCTCACATAACCTAGTATTTATTCAAATGCTAGGCACAGCATGAGAATGGATGAATGGCTGTCAGCAAGATGGGGAGATCTCCTTGCGGTTTAATTGAAGACTTTTAATTTTTATTTCTGTTTGATGGCTGAAGTAAAGGTGTCTTAGGATAGTAGATCAAAAATGCACCTTTGGTCTGACAATCACATTTGTAGTCAAATGTAAAACAATAGTTTCCCATTTGCTTTTTCCCATGGTGGGCATACATGTCCTAACATGTTAGGATAAGGAGGTTGAGAATAAGGCACATGGAGAGAGTTAGTTCATCATGATGTAGCTGGACATTTCTTATGTCAGAATGGGTCATTCCAGAACAAAGTCAGACAACAACACAGGTCTCCTGGCCCCAGTAGATCCCAAGAGCTGGGAGTAGGGTAGTCTGCCTGAGATAGGCAATTAGAGAAGGCATCATCCATAGAGAGTCTAAGAACACTAATAAGACCAGATGGACATTGGCCTGCTTTATATGATTACCATGACCGGGGATTCTGAGCATCTTCAGGGCTCAAACACCCCTCCCTGAAGGGGTCATCAGCTCTCTCTGCCCTCCCCGCACCTGGCAGATATGCTATTGTTTGCCAGCCCAAATGGGGCAGATGTAGAAGAAGGCCCTGGCTTCCCTGTAGAAGAGGTTCTAAAATGTTCTAAATGATTTGACATGGAGGGTAAGGAAGTTCCCTCAGATTTTGTCCACCATTGTCACCAAGTTGCTGCTGTGGAATGATGATGGAACCCACACCTGCAGAGCACTTACTGCGTACCTGTCTGTGGCTCCACCATCCTCCCCTCGGGGAGCTCCCAGCCTAGTGAGAGAGGCAAAAATCTCACCACCCAGCGGCAGGGTGCACCTGTGCCTACTCCAGAGAGGGCGGAGTGGAGATATGGACGTGGCTCGAGAGGCCCAGGAGGGCCTCTTAGGAACTAGTATCTAGTAGTTCTTCTAAGATTATTTGTTACACCAGAAACTAAAGATAATTTTTTTTGCCCACAAGTAGCTGTTCAAGTCATTTCTTGAATCTTTAGGGTGAGACCCACCTCAGGGCCCACACCCCTTCTCCTCTCTGTGTTGTGAGCAGGTCACTCCGATGTGGTGCGAGAATGTTCTGAAAACTGCCCAAGACCCTCCTGATACCAGCTGGCCCTCTCCTTAGATCAGTGGTTCTCAGCCCCGCTTGGACATTACCATCACCGGAGAGCTTTTTATTAAAACAAACAAACAAACAAAACACCCACAAAAACACTCTGGGCCAATGACTAAATCAGAATCTTGGAAAGGTGAGGGGAGGTCAGGGACCAACATGTTAGCAAATCAATCGGCCCAGATGATTCTAACATGCAGCCAGTATAGAGAACTACTGCCATACACGCATGAGGTTAGTTTAATTTAGTCAGGTAAGAATAATAAAAAATTTACCTTAAAAATCTTCAGCATGCAAAGGGAGCCACTTTGGAGACAGGTGTGTGAGCGTGTGTGTGCACACCCACGTGGGGTGGTCATGCCGGTCTCCCTGCACGCCGTGCGCTTTCTGTCTCTGGCGCGCGGTGGAAACACGGCCAGTGGCGCTCCCTGGACCCGGAATCAGGTTGCTTGTCAGAGGCAGACTATGCGCAGGGCCCTGGGAGTTTGCTGCAGAGGCAGGTACATGCCTCAATAAAGAAGCAAGTTTCTGGCTTTCTGTCTTCACTTCCAACCACTCCACACCCCTCTCCCGTTTCTTGCACTGCTGCTTTGCTTAACCTCCTAAATTATGAGGCTTAATGTGAAATCCGTAGCCTTTTTGAGGAAGCACATTCAAGCCTTAGATTTGTTTTCTTCCTTTAAAAAACATAAAAAGCCCTGTGAGCACCTTACATATAAGTGGAGTGAATGTATTTTTCCCACTAATGTTGAAAATATCCCCCGGCATCTGGTGTGTATGAATGTGTATAGAGAGTACATGCATAATAAACATATCCCACCTTATGAATATTTATACACAAGATACATATATATTGAGTGTAGACATACATATGTAAATAGTAGCCCTTGTAAACTATCTGCAAAGTGTGTTTCCAAGCATATGTATTCCAGCGTATCAGGAATATAATAAACCTCCCACCAAGCTTAGCATATTTTGAGGTGGCATTTTCTACAGAGTTGTTTATGGTAGGGTCTAGTTACCATCCTTGTATGGGTTTTTCCCATCACCTAGATGTTTGTTAAGTGCTGACTAAAAATAAGGCACCGGGCATGGCAGAGTAAGAAAGATAAGAAAGATGTCCCTACCTCCGCAAGGTCTGCGCCACACAGAGTGGCTTCAATTTCAGCTACAAAGAATCTGACATTGTCCTGCCCATCAGCATTTTACTACCTTCTTACACCTCCCTTTCTGTATATACTCCACATTAACACAGGCCCCCTTTCAGGCTGTGTGAAACCCTCATGGAGCTGCAGACTAGCACTGATGCAGTGAGAAGAAACATCGCTGGTTTCTCTGTCACATGTAGCCCAATCTTTTAACTGTGTTTTTATTTTACTCTGATGTGGTGGTGGTGGTGGTGGTGGTGGTGGGGTACCATACAAAGGCACTAAATCCCAGCGATATTGATCAATCTCAAAAATGAAACCGAAACAGAGCCATCTCTCCCCCTCACAAACTTCTCAAAACCCACATTTTACCGCCTATGACATTCCACTTCCAAATTGAATCCAGTTCCCACCCTGCCATAAGTAGCAGCAGCCTTTATTGAAAACAAGCTATCCATTCGCGATCGCACCCAACACGGATCCCTTTCTAGAAGGACAGTCCCCGTCCGGCCGAGGAGCTCTGAGTGACACTTGTCAGCGGGAAGATCTCACTCCATTAGGGGAGAAACAGCCCATGGGCGCTGTCACCGCGGTGCCTCAGACGTGCGCTCATTGTTTCCTCCGCCTCAATCCATACATCACAACAGGTAGTTCTCAGCTGCTCCCCTGGTGCCAGACATACATTTTATCTAAAGAGACAGCAGACAGAACTACCTGCTGCTTCCTGTGCAGCTCTCCCTGTGTTTCTCTCCTCTTTCCTACTTCGCTTGGGCTTTTAAAAACCAGCTGGCAGGGAGCCAGGAGCTCATCATTTTAATGCAGTGCAAAACGGAATATGCATAATTATATGCAAGCCATATGTGAGGGAGACAGCTCAGCTGTGAATTTCAGGAGGCCAGGAAGGAGAGAGCAGTTAGGGCTACGATGAGATGAGAGCAGAGCCGAGTGCAAGTGTCACCCAAATGAGTGATTTAATGAGTGTGCTGCAGACACGCCTCCTTTCACCTACCTCTCCCTTCTCTCCAACTCCAAACCAGCAACCGGTGGAGATTAGAAAGAGAAGACTGTATGCAAGCGGTATTGCTGATGGGTTCTGTTCATGTCTCCATTTACACTTCAGCTTTCTTAATTAACAGCGTAGATCAAAATAACCAGTAACATTTAATGCAGCTTCTTAATTAAATCTATTTTTTTTACTGCATTTGATTGAAGAATCATTGTTCTTACGAGATCATTGCTCCTTTCGGATTTTTATTTAAAAATCGAGGGGAATCAGTTTATCTCTAATAGTATTACAATGCAAAATATAACTATGCAAATTGCTTTTCTTATGGCCTTGCTATCAGAATTTTTTTTAAAGTGCATTATCTAGAGATTGCTTAAGCATGCCAAAAAGTTTAAACACATATGTATGTCAGATAATCCTAAATGTACAACCAAAGTCACTGAAAGACTACAGTGGTGGCAATTTCCAACAAAATTATTTACTGTTGGTTTGCTTAATATTTAAAAATGTTAAATATTGCACCACAAGGAATTTGCATGTTCAAACTAAACTATGTGAAGAAAAATAAATCCCAAATTTTGATATCTAAAAGGCATACTGCGTGTTTAAACAAACTTCTTAATGATGTTGTTATTTCTGGATTCCCGTTTGTTTAATGATCTGAGCTGTTATGCTTTTAGCTTTTTTTTTCTTCCATTATTTGTAAGTCCCTAAATAGGCCATTATATTTCCCTTCAGGCTAGAGATGAAGATGGACATGCTGAAAATTTCCCCCAGCAGCACTATGCTAAGGAAACTCCAAGGCTTGCCTTCAAGAATAACTGCGAACTACTTGTAAGAATAATATACTTACAACAAGTCTAGAATGTTACTTTAGCACAGTGAAAACAGTTTTTGAAAGGGTTTGTTCATTATTACATAATTTATGAAGTATTATAGTTTTTTCTGTATAGAGTTCTAAATGCTAATTCTGATATCACTGAATATTAATTATAAGATCTCAAGTTGTTTGCAAATCTTTTATATCTGATTATAGAGCTTGGATGGCCCTGTCTTTATTAGCTTGTTTTGTATAGTAGTTTATAAGCAGCTGTTTGGAGAATGGCTAGTAAAGTTAAAAATATAGAGAAATGCAGTTGATACATGGAGCTTGGAAAAGAAAACAGTCCCACCCTCCACCCTCCTCCTACTTCCTAATTGTGCACTATTTTAGGAGACGACGTGGTAATATTTTGTTCTGCTAGGAAAGATAGCAGGGTTGACATGCAGTACTCCCTTTTGCATTCAAGTATTCCTACAGCCTCTTGCCAAACTCAGTCAGGCACTTTCGTCTCTCCTAAGTAGAAGTCAAAGCAGCGACAGGATGCGGGGATGTTTACAAGTCGCGAGAGAGAGGATATCAGCTGTGACAGGGACTCCGTTCCAACGCAGGGTTAATTTGCTGTTCATTTTAGCATTTACAGCGAGACAAGATGAAAAGCAAGCGGGAATGCCTATTATATTTCTATTAAATGAATCTGTTGGGACCTAATGTTCTTGATTAGCTTTTGAAAATGAGTACTCCGCAATGCGTTTTCTGTTTACCTAAAGTAAACAGAGAATGAATTGTCATTTATTTAGAGATTCACGTACTGCTTTGGAAAATGAAGCTTTATGAGGGATCGAGCTATGTTGTCCCAAAATGTTCTTTTCTTTTCAGTTGCATTAAAGCAAAACATTTGCTCCCACTAAATGCAAACGCTGACAGAGAATGAGGATGCCCAGTTGTTACATTTCGAGGTAGTCTCATTTCTGTGTAGTTTTTTGGCAGAACACAGTGCCGCCCTGCCAGGTCTCAGCATTAGGAAATCCCACATGTAACAGTGTTTGGACTTAGGTCTGATACCAAGTATTCATTAAAAACAAAGTGTCCAAAGAGCAGGAGAAGAGAGAAAAATACAGTTTTTACCCAGTCCAGCCGCAGTAGTTAGATGTTGACAGCAAGAAACTCCTTTCCCAGCCCCACCGTCTGCGCGGTTACAATAGCACCACTCATTCTCTGCGTGGAGTCCCTTGACCAGCCAATCCGCAGGCAAATTTGCTGCTTGTAAATGCAGTTTTTCCCCTGAAAATTGAGCCACCTTGTATTTTATCTTAGGGCTCTTAAGCTTCCAGGCCTGCTAGCATTACCTCTTTGGGGGAAACGCTTTACATTCGGTTCCGTTTTAATGTTATCCAGCAGGAAACCAGAGGGGCCATGTCGGCTGTGTTTTGGTATCAGCATGCCTTTGGGAGTCGCTTACTACTTTTTGGATAAATTGTTATAAGTGCTATGCCCTACTTGGTTTTTTTCTTTTCTATTTACTAGAGAAATTAATGTGCCCGAGTCTTGGTTGTGGTCATTGTATACTAGAGGAAAAGTAAGACGTACATGTGAAGTGTTCTTCAGCTATCTTTGGAGAAAATATACGTTTAGTCCTTGCTGTGCTTGAGCACAACAATGTGTTGGCAGTAGTTTTGAGAGGTTGGTACAATCTTAGTTCTTCTAAGCCACTGTTAGAAATGTTTTATTTAGGTCAGCATATGATAAAAGAAAAAGGAGAAGAAACGGGGGAAAAAAACCCAAGTAAGCTTATGTCTCCAAGGAGAAATCAATTTTTTTTTTCAGCTGCAAGAGAAGCAATGGTTTGGGCTGGTTATGAAGCCCTGAGAAGCTTTGCTTCTGTATGAAAGAGACCTGTTCATTATGAAGAAAGAAATAGGAAGTCCTTGGAGCTTTCTTAGTGCAGCTCAGAGCAGATTTGTGAAGAATTCACGAGAGGAGATTGCAGGCTCCTTCCAAAGCGCTTTCCTAGCCTAAGGCTGGTTCTGCCATCGTGCGTGGTTCCTGGCAGGAAGAGCAGTGAGCAGTTTACAAAGTGGGGGCGTCCTGGGGTGCCCATGGCTCTTGGGAGAAAGCATTGAGGGCACAGATTACTCCTAGGCTCCCAGGCGGTCAGGAGCTCATGGCTGGAAGTCTAACCCTCTGGGCCACAGGTGTTGACAGAAAGTGCCCTGGCCAGGTAGCCTCCGACTCTGATACTGACTCTTGATTGTCTCTGACCTCCACCCACACCCCCAGCCTCTGCTTCTTGGAAGGGAGAGGAATATGAAGGAACTTAAACAAAAGCAGAATAAGATCAAATGCTGGGACATACAAGTATGTGCCATCAGCAGGCACCGACAGAGAAAGCACTGGCTGGTAGGAAAGTCTGCTCTGCAGCTGAAGATTTCCTGTAGGGCATTGATATTTCCGTTTAAATCCCAAACTGTGATATGTGCCCTCACACTTGATGTCTGGCACGATGACTATTCAGCCCAGTGGCCAAGGCTCTCTGTTGCTTTTTATTAATTTTGAAAATACAAGGCTGCCAAGGTGAATAACATCAAATAAAACTCGAGTACTGTATTCAGGGTGGCCCCATCTTTCTCCTCATAGATAGGTGTACACACACACACACACACACACACACACACACACACACACACCAGGGTATTTTGCTGGCATATCTAAATTTATGACCAAGGCAAGTAACGGTCAATAAAAGAAACTGTAAGAAATTCACCTCACTTTAACATCACAGCAGCATGGGAGCCCAGAAGAGGAAATATTTAGAGCCAGGCACGGGTGACTAGCCTTTGCCCCAAATTTCAGCACCAATGTTGGTCCCTTTACCATTATTGCCGCATTCTTTTGGGACTAGTAGGCCTTCTCATTTCCTCGGTGGAAACGCTCATATCGATGGTGGGAGGTGGATGAAGAGCTAGAGAGGAGGACCTTAATCATATATGAGCTCACAACCTTCTCATCAGCCGGTACTTCCTCAGTCCCTGAGAGCCAGCTGGGAGTAAGACCTTGCAGAGTTACAACATTAGCAGGGTCCTTGGAGGGAGAGGACCTGTAACTAGAAGAAAAATGTTGAAAGGGTTTGGGGGAAGGAACGGAAGGCAGTTGAGCCTATTCCCCAAGTGTTTCGGGCCAGTCCAGAGAACATCACTGCATTCAGGAAGAAGGTCAGACTATAGTCAAAGAACAGTAGCAATGATGTCGTGTAATTTGGTTGGAAAGAAAGCAAGTTTAGGAAGTCTGAAAGGGGACATAAGAGAAAGAAAACTCGGTGCGGGGGGGTGGGGGGCGGCAGGGGGTGCAGAATCAGCCTGTCTTCCTCAGTTTCGGATTCCCAAGACATTATCCAAAGTCCGACTCCCTTGGCATTTGCTAAGGCTGCGAGGGATGGGGGTTTACAGAGGGAGAGGGAGGGACCCACAGCTGGGAGGTGAATAAAAATAGCACGGGGAAGAATTCTTTCTGGTCACTTACAGTGCCAGCGTGGGGAGAAGATAAAAACTATTTTAGTTTGGTTGCCTTCTGGACATGTTGGGAGATGTTGGGGAGGAGAGATGCTTCGGCCGTTCGGGGGGCTGGTTTCCGTCTCATTTCCTTGTGCAGGCAGACTGGTAGATGACAAGAACTGGACCTAGTCCTTCGTCAGCACTGCGAACACAGACAGCTCTGTAGTGATACAGGGTCCAGTTAACAAGATGTAATGTGGCATCTTCTGTGTATAAGGCGCTATACCAGACGGTGCTTGTGGGGCACACAAAATAGAAAAGGCACAGTCCCTGCCCTGAAGGAGCATACAGTTTAGTAGGAAGATGAGGCTAAACAGTGTTATAGTCATTGGGAACGTGGAATCTCAGGTCTTTCTGAAAGTTAGAATTTGGCCCCAGCTAGACCTTAATTTACGCTACGTCACTCTGATGGTATAGCGCAGTGGTCGGCAAACCTTGGCTCGCGAGCCGCATGTGGCTCTTTGGCCCCTTGAGTGTGGCTCTTCCACAAAATACCACGTGCGGGCGTGCACGTACAGTGCGACTGAAACTTTGTGGCCCATGCACAGAAGTCGGTTTTCGGCCTGGGCGAGTCTATTTTGAAGAAGTGGCGTTAGAAGTTAGAAGAAGTGGGGAGGGGGGGTCAGCGCGACGAAACAAGTATACAAGACGAGCGTGGATGGGCAAGTTGGAAGGGGTCGACCTCAGCAAACGTACCTCAATCAGATTGAGGACATTTTTAGCAAAGGCCAGCTTAGGAGTACCCTAATTAAGTTAATAACAATGTACCTACCTATATAGTTTAAGTTTAAAAAATTTGGCTCTCAAAAGAAATTTCAATCATTGTTCTGTTGATATTTGGCTCTGTTGACTAATGAGTTTGCGAACCACTGGTATAGCGTAAGGATCATGGGCACAAAGGCTTAACGTTTATGGTGCCACATCTGGCATCGCATCACGTTAAATCTGTTTCCCCCTTGGACTTCTCTAAGCTTCAGATCTTCATCTGTTCAATGTAATAATAAATGGTAGTAACCTCAGAGGATATTGTAAGGATTGAAAGTGATGACATACTTGCAGTGCCTGGTACACAGTAACATATTAGCTGCGATTATTATGATTCTTCTTATTCTCATGATTGTTATCATTACATAGTGAGCTGTGCCCCAGGAGAGCACCCACAAAGCTCTGGAGTCCACAGGAAGAAGAGATTACTTCCATATGCAGCAATTAGAGACTTGCTAAAGGGGATAACTTTGATCCAGGCCTTACATGGGTTGGATTTTGATAGTTGGAGCAGGGATATAAGGGGAGAGGGGTTCCAGACAGAGGGAAATAGCATGGACAAAGGCAAGGAGGTGGGAAAGTACAGGCCAGGTGACCCACACCTCAGTTGGCATCTAAGTTGGCTGGAGGGTGGAATACCTGAAGGATAAGGGGTGAGCTGGCAGGCGGTCCATTTACAGAGATGTCAGTAACTGACC